CTGCGCGCCACCTTTCCTCCTTAATCCCTCTTTTTGGCAGTGCATTCCACCCTGGCAGCTCCCGTCGATCCTCCTCTTCTTCTTTGTTCCACGGCTCCGGCGATCGCCAAGCTCCCATCGCCAGACGCCTCCTCCTCTCAGGTTCTCGCAGTGGTTGCGGCGAGCGATACGCTCCTGCCGGTGCATGACCTCACTTGCCTGCATTGTCCTGCTCCTCCAGCAATCGAGTTGCTTCTCTATACCCATGTCGCCTTACATCTTCCCCAAGCATAAGCTATGTCGCGCGATCATTCTCCTTGCTCCTACGGTGCATCGCGCTATTCCCGCGCATCTCCTCTAGTACGCAATCTGTATCCGCGATGTTCCCCTAGCGCCTCGCGCCAATCCTGCGCATCTCCTTCGATGCGCGATCTGCATCCGCGATGTTCCCCTTGCGCCTCGCGCCACTCCCGCGCATCTCCTCTTGCGCAAGATCTACATCCGCATCCGCAATGATCCCCTGGCGCCTTACGCCTCTCCCGCACATCTCGTCTGCCAAGCGGGTAGCTTCCCCTCCACACTATTCGTGTTCCTCTCCGCAATCGCTTTGTGTATATTCCTCATCTTCTCTCCCTCCGTCCCGCGCAACTGGGACATCTTTTGTTGTCTCCTCACCATCAGCCTCAGTTGCCGACTCCTGCGAGTCCAACTTGCCGGCATCCTTATGATGCCATGCTCCTGTGCCCCGCTAGCCTCTTGCCAGATCCCAGAGATCGCTGCTTAACGGCTGAGGCCTTGGCGCCGATCCCGTCTGCCGATCGGGCTCGCCTCCATCGATCCGTCCGTCACCACTTGCCACCCGATTTGCCCGATCCGCCTCTCTCCTAGGAGAGCGACCTGGCGATCGTCCCTGCTCCTGTGAGTATGTCCTTCGCGACGGCGGAATTTTCCGCGGTTGAAACGTCCACTGCCAGCGCAGCTCTTAGCAGTCCATACTGCTGCTTCTTTCTCTCGTTTGTGAGAGATTCCTGCTCCTACAGGTGGCTGCTTACAGTGGCCTTGTCACCTAGGCTGGAGTTAGCCGTGAATCAGTAACATATATCCACTATCGAGAGCGAACAAACGAGAGAACAAAGATTCGGTTGGTTGTGCTAGGCTACTTATTCCGGCCATCTTGTATCTCCAATCTCTAAGCAAGCTAGTTGGGTTCGAGCCGCCTGTGCTTGGGATTGGCCACTTCCGATTTCCACTTTGCGTCACCCCCTGAAACCCAACTGCTCCTCGGTAAAACTGAATTACAAAATCTACACCCGTCTACACCTCACAAAGCATGTAACGAAATATTATGCTATTACCTTTATATTCTGTGACAGCCTGCCGGACTCCCGCCTTGAAGGGCCTATTGATGCTGACATCGAGCGGCTGCAATAAGGGCGTGCATCCGCCTGGGATGATCCCCAGTGAGATGGCCGCGCTACAAGTCGAGCACCAGCAGCGACTTCCCGCGGGTTCTGCCATGGGAGGGGCGGAGAAAGGGCAAGAGTACGTGCTGTACCTAGCCCATGAAGAGGGGGGCGTCCATCCACCCACGTTCTTGGACTTGGATGAGCATGCTGCAAGCAAGGAAACAGAAAATGATAGAAATTTGATAAGCAGATTGTACTTTCTACGAAACCGGAACACATGCCGCACATCAAAGTACAATAACGCCACTTTGAGACACGCGAATGTTGGGTAAGGTCTTGCGCGTGATAATCATCATAGGCAGAAGCTTCTGCCCATCAGCAGTGATGCCCAGCATGACCGTCATCCGCTCCTTCTCGTAACTCGTCGTGCGAATTTGGACAGTCCTCTCGCCATGGTGGTGAAGTATCCGCTCATGGGGTATTGTTAGAAGTAGCAGTACAAAGTTTAGAAACAGAAAAGGGAGGTTTGCACTAGCAGCAGTTGAGATACATATAGGAAACCCTAGTTGGGTTGTACTCGCTATAGAGTACCCCAGTGCAGGTTAGACAATTACATCATTCTGACACACCCCCATAGCCAAAGTGGGGTGTAATCAACACAACAAGCAGTCATAAAATAGTTCACAAGCCCAAGTAAAGCTAGAGGTAGTCACAGAGGGCATGTGAGGAGGAGGAGGGACTGTGAGAGGAGAGGAGATGGGAGGCGACGGCGGAAGCTGCAGACACACAGGAGCTGCTGGCTCAGTGGCTACCGAAGCAATGGCCCGGACTACAGGAGTAACTGGCTCCGCGGAGATTGTAGCCTCCTGACTGGAGCAACTGACCCACATGCGACTGGCGACTACCGGAGATTGTAGCCTCCGGACTACTGGTGCTGCTGGCGACACGACTGCGACCTCCGCTCAACCTCCGCCAACTGCCCCACGCCCCTAGCACACACCCCCTGCTGCACCCCTAGCTCCACTCCCACGTCACCCCCCTAGCACCACTCCTTCGGCTCCCACACACCCACCCCCCCCCTGAGCGGCAGCTGCAGCAGCGGGAGACGGAGGAGGAGGAGGAGTAGGGGACGGCGCACACAACCGGCACCCCCACAACCGCCACCCCCACACTCCCCACCCCCAAACCCTAAAACGGGTGGCACGGGCCAGGAGCGTGGGGGACGGCGAGGGGGACAGCGCGCGGCCCCCAGGGCGCCACCACGGGGCAGCAAGGGGGGTCGCGCACGGCTCCAGGGGTGGCGCGCGGCCTCCAGGGCGCCACCACGGGGCAGCGAGGGGCCGCGCGCGGCTCCCCAGGGCGCCGCGACGAGGCAGCGGGGGGGTCGCGTATGGCTCCAGGGGTGGCGCGCGGGTCCCCGGGGGCGACGCGAGGGTCGACGGGGGTGGCGCGCGGGTCCCCTGAGGCGACGCGAGGGTCGACGGGGTGGGCGCGCAGGTCCAGCGGGGCCGGCGCGCCAGGAAGAAAAGGGGCCGCGCGCCTCGGGGCGCGCGCCAGAGAGCAAATCGCCGCGCGCCGACGGCGCGCGACGGGATGAAAAATACGTCGCACGCCACGGGGCGTGCGACAGATCGAGTAGCAGCGGAAGCAGGTTGGTGGGCCCACAGGCCGAGGAAGGACAGGCTCTGATAGCATGTTAGAATTAGCAGTACAAAGTTTAGAAACAGAAAAGGGAGGTTTGCACTAGCAGCAGTTGAGATACATATAGGAAACCCTAGTTGGGTTGTACTCGCTATAGAGTACCCCACTGCAGGCTAGACAATTACATCATTCTGACAGGTATTTCCAGGAACACATGCGCTTGGTCAGCGTTCACTATGTTCCATGGTTCGATACCGTATTCAACCACCTGCTTGCGATAGAAATTCCATGAGCTCTCGCTTTTGGACTTGCAATATGCGTGACACGTAAGAAAACAAATAGCACAAGTTAGAACGGGCTTGTCGGGAACAATGCATAAAAACTGGATGGACAAAATGGCTCGAATGGCTATGGTATGTAAAAATTACGTCATGATTTCTTAAACAACGTACCTTTAGCGAGACGCTGGCCAATCTTCGTTTTTACCTTCACGGTGAGACCCCACCTTATTCGGAAGCACTGGGTCCAATTGGGAGATGCGCGCCAGTCGACCTGTGGGTGGCAGTTCCTCATTGATGTACGACTCCACTGCAGCAGAAGCTTTATGGGGACTGCCAAGCTGCAAGCACAGTAGGCGATGAACTGGTTGTACACGGATTGCTCCATGTCCGAATACTTCGCCAGCGGCCCCCCGCCGACGAGCCGCTTCTGTCATGCTGCTGCACCTTCAATCTCTGATGCCGCCCGCTTACAGCTGACGCTGACTTGCTCCACGCCGGCAATTCTTGCGGTGGCGCGCACCGAGAGCTGCTCGTCGCGCATCCCTGGTGAGCCACGATTTCCTTTCATCCATGGTGCGCGAGTACCGTTTGTGCTTGTTTGTCCTGCCACAAGTTTCAGGGGGCTGCGCATCACAGGCCTGGACTTCTGCGTTACTAGCATCACGTGGGATATCAGCAGGAAATATGGGCACGAGATAGGCTGCTGCTTCAAGGACAGCAGGATTGTCCTCGTCAGTTGCGAGAGGTTCGATATGGTCGAGATTGTTGTCGGACGGCACCTCAAAATTGGCTTCAACACCCGTGGGCTCGAGGAGGTAAGGGAACAGGGGATTTGGTACAGGAGGCGATGGTGGCGCAGGATGTGAGGGAGGAGACGGCGGGGCAGGTGGAGTAGGAGGTGCAGGGGGTGCAGGCGGTGCAGGTGGGACTTGGAGACCGTTCGCCATCGACGCCATTGGGCGAGCAGCACTAACTTCCCACATCTTCATTAGCACGTCGAGAGCCGACATGGCTCCCTAGCTAGATGCTCTGTGATGAGGTAAGAGAGAGGGATGGAAGCCATCACTGTGGGATGCTTCATTTTGAACCGGTGAGGAAAACTGAAAATGAATGCTCGGCTCCTTGACTACCCCCTCTCGTAACGGGAAAGGAGGAGACGTGCACTAAGGGTGGGTAGGGTTTGCACAGTGCAAACCCTGTCACGGGGGCGGGAAGGCAGGTGATGGCCTCGACCGTGTCCCAAGGCACGTTCGAGCCCAAGTGCCTAGATGTGGTGGCACTCAAGAGGCATGGCGCCACGCCAGCCGTGCAATTTCAACTGCCCACTTGTGGCAACATTCTGCCGTGTGGGCAAAGTCGAAGTTCGAGAATGGGCGGATAGGAATCCGCATTGTGAGGGTAGGAAAAAAAACGTCCCCTTGTAGTTATAAGTTTGGCTGTGTGGTAAATATTGAACATTTAAAAGTCTATAATAAGTGTCTAGGGGTCTTGTAAAAATGTGCCATCCCTATTGTCCACCCTAGTCATTTCCCCAAAAAAAAATACAAGAACCCCCCGGGGCTTTTAGACGGGATATTACGGTTGGCCGCAAGGACGAAACTCCACCCATATATGGGAGAACAGTTTGGTAGATGCTAGGGAAGTTGAAAACAACATGAATCTGAGATTCACTATGCAAGATGATTTACTTAAGTCATCCGGTGCGACCAGAACCAAATGAGCTGTACTCAATCCCTTGAAGTCCTGTATTGGCGGTCTCTTCATCCATGCTCTTAATCACCCGCAGCTCCTCAGCCAAGTCATTGGGAAAGGACGTCCCGCTCCGCATCTCCTGTGCTAGTGCATCCACCTTGATCGCTGCACCCAGCTCCTCCTTCCCCACCACCTCCTGCCTGATCCCCTGCAGCTCGTTGGCAACGCCTGTCATGTTGGGCCGGCCTGCAGTGCGCTCCGCGGTGCAGGAGAGGGCCAGCTGGGCCAGGCGCAGCACAGCATCATCCGGGGCGTCCATGCCCTGGTCCTTGAGGGAGGCCGGATTGCCGGAGGAGATTTGATCCTCCACCTGATGGGGTGTATAAGGTGGGTGGGGGATGCGGGCAGGAAACGAAACTGTGAGCACGAGTCACACTGAGAATGGTCTGATGTCACTATGCTACAGTGTTGAGACCGCCAGGAGAGGCCAATGGATGGCACACATGCATGAGAGGCCAGGAGAGTTCATTCTTAAATGATGTGGTCTATGGAGTGGAATCGGTGCATTGCTGAGGCCCTTGAGTGCAGTCAAGTTGTTGAAAGAGATGCACTGCTACGCTTGAAGGATTGAGTTACAAGAAGGCGGGCGGGCACATGCATGGCATCATCAAGGACATCCATGCTGATGCCCGTGATGCAATCAGGGTTGTTAGGCGAGGCAAACGAGTGACTTTTAAGTCGACTCAAAAGTCAAGTCGTTACAATACAATGGCACACGACACTTGCATGCATGGCATCATCAAGCGCATCCATGCTGATGCCCGTAAGTGAAACGGTCAAGGTTGCTCGGCAAGGCAAACCGGAGGACCGTCTCTCACACCATCTGTAGAGCAATTGCTATCTGACTTTGTATAAAAAGTGAGAGTAATTTCCTGTGCCACGTCCAAAGCTGCGGCACTCACCCATCGCAGAATGTGCCCCTTCTTGTCACCGTCGGCAGAGCGGGGGCTGCGACCGGTGATCACCACAAGCATGAGCACACCGAAGCTGCACACACAGAGAACGGAGGGCAACAACACATTAGGGGGGTAGGGGGGGGGGGGGGGGGGGGGGGGGAAGGAAGTTAACACTGTCAAGGGATGTGCTGTGCACTGTTCATTCTGTATTGAGCAGGGGTTGCGACCGGTGAGCAGTACAAGCGTGAGCACGTTGAATCTGCATGGATGGAGGCAAAGTTATTGCGAGCAGCACACAGGGATGCCATATTGTGAGTATACTCTCTATCAGCCTTATACAGCGAGCTTCAACCACTGAGGACCACTAGTGGTTGTCTCATGCACACAGGTCCTGAGATGGTAAAATTGACTGGATGGTTGTGCTAGGACTTTCCTCGCAATGTCAATGATTAGATATGGGAGAATCTCAACCAGATGGGGATTTTGTTGACAAGACAAAACAACTAGACCACGATGTTTTAATCCCCTAGACGAATCATAGCAACTCAAGGCTGACATTGCAGCACGAGCAGACACTACACGCAAAAACTGGAAAGATTTAACTGCACGCACCCATAGCCAAACAAACGCACGCACGTGCATTGGTGTCATAATGGACATCATTTACGCCATCCATTTAGAATCCACTTGGAATCCGTAATCTCCCAATGACGACAGTTACTCACCTGAGGCATTGATGACAGCGGTTGCTGTGGATCTATTTGTGAGGCCCCTCGAAAACAGCTCACCTGTGGACATCGGTGGCAGTGGTGGCCTTTCACCTGTACACATCGGTGCCAGTGGCTGTCGTGGACGTTTTGTGAGGAACCTCAAAAGCAGCTCACCTGTACACGTCAGTGGCAGTGGTGGCCGTTCACCTGTACACATCGGTGGCAGTGGTGGCCTTGGACGTGCGTGAGTAGATGGGATCCACATAGCCCGGCGTTCCCATGACCCGAGTCGTACCCACAGTGGTGCCCTCGCCCATTTTCAACAGCCCAAAGTCAGCGATTTTGGCCTGTTGGATGGTTTGATGATTGAATTAGGGATGACATGTGCGATAGGAAAGAGAATGGACAAGGACTTGTTTATGCTTTGAGCTGGTCATCTTTGAAAGAGAGAATGAATGATGTGTGGAAGCAATTTAAAGATCAGAGGGTAATGAGGTCACGTTCGAGTGATCCATGGGGAAGGGTTGTTGACGAACATGCATGGGGAATTGTGTCTGCTTTGATGCACCAAACATGCCGTGGCACAGTTGTAACGCCTGTCGCTGTTATACAAATGGTATCAGAGCCTGAGATGTTGTGGTTCAAATCCCTATTGCGAAAAAAAAAAAGAAAAAAAAAAACGTACTCATGGCGGACGGATTTGAAACCCTATTGTGGTTCAAATCCCTATTTTGCCATCCCTACGTATGCTTGCCTGCATCTTTTCTCCGAGAAGGATGTTGGCACATCACAAAAATCAAATATCTGAATACTATACATGATGTGTGTTTGAAGACTTTGTTCGGATGTTTTCAAAATGTAGGGGTTCAAACTTTTTTAGAAGAAAGTATCGAACTTTTTTCAAATGATGTGTCAGATGATTTTCGTATGATTGGCAGGTTCTGAAATGGTTCTGAATACATGCGAGGGAAGTTCTATTGGGGTTTTGGAAACCTTGTTATGGACATGTTGGCGACACCTATTGACATTTATGCGGTGTAAAAATGGTGCTTTGCTGTGTTTTGTTACATGTTTGAATTGGATTTTGACATAGTTTAGCAGAGTGTCAATGCCTGTAAATTATACAGTTGGAAAAGGGCATCATGTATGTTTTTTTACCTTGTACACAGCCATAATTACACCTTGCACAAGGTTCGATAATGCCTCGACCCAACACCAAACATCCTTTTCCATGGATCCCACCGACATACGATGTGTGCTCGCAAAAATCAGAAAAATAGGAATTAAAAACGCTACAACATTCCTTTTGCTTCATATCCCTGCATCTAGTCTCCTATTGTCACATTGTCACTGCCTTCTACTGGTAATCTGACTTGCTGCTGCAATCCCCTACTCGTCTCCTATCGCACTAGTTGGCCTGGAGTTCCTAACTGCTGTGACCTATGCTGCCCCTTCTTCGCTTTCCCAAACGCTCTGTGTCTACTCTACTCCCCTGGCTGCTGTGACTGCTCTTCTTCCCACTGTTGTGACTGCTCTTATTCCCCCGCTGCTTCCTCAACTTTGCTCCCCACCTGTTGTGACTACTAAGCTTGACCTGCTGCTGTGATTCTTCGCCTCTCCCACTGAATACATACTCTTCTTCTCCCACTGCTGCCCCTTCTTCGCTCCCCCCCTTGTTGTGACTTCTCTGTTCCCTCCTTGCTGCCCCTTCTCCGCTCCCCACACTGCGGAGACCTTTGCTCCCCAGCTGCTGCCCTTTCTATTCGTCCCCCACTGCTCAGTGACTACTCTACTCCCCTGGCTGTTGTTTATTTGGAGCTCCCCCCACTGTTGTGACTACTCTCCTTCCCCGCTGCTGCCCCTTCTTTGCTCCCCCCTATTTTAACTACTCTGCTTGACAAGCTGCTGCCACTCCTCTGCTCCCCCCACTGCTGCCCCTTCTCCACTCCCCCCACTGTTGTGATTACTCTGCTCCCCCTGCTGCCCCTTCTCCGCTTCCCCAAATGCTCTGTGTCTACTCTGCTTCCCGCACTGCTGCCTCTTTTCCGTTCCCACCCTGCTGTCATTACTCTGCTTGACCCGCTGCTACCCCTTCTCCGCTCATCCCACTGCTGTGACTGCTCTACTTCATCTGCTGCTGGTCCTTCTCCCATACCCCCTCTGTTTTTATTACTCTGATTTCCTGTTTGCTGTTCCACTGCTGCACACTCCACTCCTGCTCCTCCCAGCATCACAGCATTGCTGCCCCCAAGCAAATACCTACTGCCTCTCACAGCTGCCATACCCCGCTGCTCCGCTGCGGTCTCACAGCTCAACATAGCTTCCCTTTTTGCTGTCCATCTCATACTCTCCCTACTGCTACTCCTCCACAGCACACCCCACACCAGTTCTGCAGCTTACCCCTCCACTGCTGCGTCCCCGTGTCTCCCCACTCCACCTTTCTCTGCCTCTCGCACTGTTTACAACCCGCTGCTCCTCTTCGTTGCAACTTCCACTCTAGTTCAGTCAAGCAACCACCCTCCCCACCGGAGTGCGGGTGCTTGGTGTGGCCCTATACTCCTCAAAGCCCGACTCGTGGACAAAAAGGCCAAATGGCCCCCATTCGAAACCCTTCATGCGGGGGTTGTAGGTCGGACTGGCCTGGGTGAAGTGATCCCTCACCACCCTTTTCACAAGGGCGCGGATGCTTGTCACCCATTTGGTGTTCTTACGGTGGGAGTTGGTGAGGTTCATTGTCGTCTTGTTTGTCTTTGACAATCCGTAATCGATCTGTACAGTGATGGAGTTTGGAGGGATTTGTGGATCATGTTTCAAAGGGGGAAACAGTGAAGTATTGGGAGCACCGTGCATGGCATGCAAGGATGGAAAGCAAATTGAAACATTTGTTGAAACCCAAGCAAGGAATGGGGTAGAAGAACACAATGAATTGGGGACAATGAGAGGGAGAAAGAATCTGCTCACCACCATGATAATCCACGCAATGTGATACGCCTTGATGCACAACTTTGTCCCCACAGCATATTCACCAAAGGCATCCATGGCAGCATCGAAGAAGCACTTGTTGGCGAATGGGAGGCCGGACTCCTCATCATTCCCCCATGTGCTTAGTGGATCATCGGCAGCTGCAGCAGTTGGGTTTGGAGGGGGTTGGGGAGGGGACAGGTGGGGCATTGGCAGGCCAATCTGGTCGGTCGAAGGAAAACGGGAAAGGGTAAGAGAGAAACAGTGACCAGGGAAGGGGGTTGGGGGTGTAACCCCCCCAAAATCATGCAATACAAGGCATTGTGCGATGGAATACTCACTTGGGCAGTAGGTGCCCCAAAGATCGCACTTCAATTCCACGTCGATGTGTAACTCTGATGCACGCAGCCCACTAACTGCCACCCCCAGGGCCTCGAGCACCGCCCTTTTGATATAGAAGGCGCGCTCGTTCTTCCATTGCGTCCAAACACGCTTGAAAGTTTCAATGCGTTTCTGGTCCTGCATGACCTCTTTCAACTGAATCAAAGACACTATGTAGTTCTCTGATATGACCGCGTGCAAGACCAAGATCCTCTTCTCAAAAGATGGGTAGAAATTGATTTCGTTGTCGTCAGCTTCCATGCACATGCGATTCCTGGTATCCTCGATGTAGAGCTAATGAAGTATTCAACGGAAGGGAAAACATGGAACATGGCATGCAGGGAAGGAGCAAATTAGGATGCATGGGGAGGAGGGCAAGCTTTGAATGGGGCAAACAGAGATGAATGCAATGCAAGGCATGCAGGGAAGGTGCACATTGAGAAGCATGGGGAGCAGGGCATGCTTTGAATGGGGCAAACAAAGATGACTGCACTGCAAGGCATGCAGGAAAGGTGCAAATTGGGATGCATGGCGAGCACGGCATGATTTGAATGGGGCAAACAGAGATGACTGCACTGCAAGGCATGCAGGAAAGGTGCAGGTTAGGATGCATGGGGAGCAGGGCATGCTTTGAATGAGGCGAACAGAGATGAATGCAATGCAAGGCATGCAAGGAAGGTGCAAATTGGGAAGCATGGGGAGCAGGGCATGCTTTGAATGGGGCAAACAGAGATGGATGCAATGCAAGGCATGCAGGGAAGGTGCAAATTAGGATGCTTGGGGAGCACGGCATGCTTTGAACGGGGCAAACAGAGATGGATGCGAAGCAAGGCATGCAGGGAAGGTGCAGATTAGGATGCAACGGGAGCAGGGCATGCTTTGAATGAGGCAAACAGAGATGGATGCAATGCAAGGCATGCAGGGAAGGTGCAAATTAAGATGCTTGGGGAGCACAGCATGCTTTGAACGGGGCAAACAGAGATGGATGCGAAGCAAGGCATGCAGGGAAACAGATTTACGGGTTGGGGAAGGGCAACTGACCCTCAAATTCGTGGCAGATGGCATCCCATGTCTCCTAGCGATGGGCGGTCCTTGTACAGCACTCTCCGCCACACACACGGGCTCAGGTTCCTGGGAGGGTAGCTCGCTGGATATCGCCTGCAGAGGTGGAACTGGCATTCCTACTCCAGCAGAATTTCCCAGGGGCCTTGGTGCTGCCTTCAGCTCCGCAATCTGCCTATTCGCTTCCTGCAATGCCTGAAACAATTGCTGCATGGACGCGTTGGGTGATACACCAGCACTACTGAAAGGGAATACAACTGCCGCACCCTCTTGCTTGCACCTTGCGGATTCTCCCGCGACTTCAGGCCCAATATCTGTTTTACCAAAAGCCTCACAACTAGGTCGACCGTCGCCTGGCTGACCTCCAGCACCAGGGTTGCCACCGTCAGCTGCGCCCTGGAGTCCGACCTGCACGCCACTACTCCGCTCAAAACCCTGCCCAATGCCCCACTCCTCATCGTCACTTCCTCCATGCTTACGGTTGTCAGCAACACGCTGGACTTCAACTTTGATGCCACTCCGCCCACGAACCGGCTGGGCATTCCTTCCCAACGAGGAACCTGAAGCGAGTGCCGCATAGGGGTCGTCTGAAGCCCCCCGTTTCTTGCGAATGCTTTCCCGTCGGTTCTCCGCTGTAGCATCTACTGTTTTCCCCAAAACCTTCATGTCGTTGTAGAACCCGAGATCGGCATTCAAAGTACGCCGCTCCTTACCCACTCGGGTTTCCCCACGTTCTGAGCGCTTGGCTGGTGCATGTTCTTGGGGCCTCCCCCTCTTACGCCCTTTCTTTTCCTTCCTAGCGCGACAACGCTTTCCGCTAGATCCGTTTCTGCGTCCACCCCGAGCCTTGCCTTTCCTCCTGTCTTCCTCCTCACTCTCTGACTCTGATTCCGCATCCTCACTTTCGTCCTCCTCATCGTCGTACTTCTCCTCGCTCCCAGAGGAGCTCCCCGACTCCTCCTCAGAGCTTTCATCGTCATCGGAAGATTCCTCCTTGACAGGGGCTTTCTTTCCAGCCCTTCGGCGCCGTGACTTCACCCTCCCTGACACCCCCCTCTGATCCTCCAACTCCCCGCCACGGCTCTCCCTCCCACCCCCCCCATGCCCAGGAACATTCTCTGCACCATCCTGTCGAGCACCTGCTGCAGTAGGAGGGGATGCGTCACGCTTCACTTCAAGCTCGCCCTCATGATCACCCTCACCCTCGCCAACCCTGCCGCAATGCTCGCCGTCACGCTTGCTGTAACGCTCGCCGTCACGATCGCCGTCACGCTTGCTGTAACGCTCGCCGTCACGATCGCCGTCACGCTTTCTGTAACGCTCTCCGTCACGATCGCCGTCACGCTCGCTGTCACGATCGCCGTCACGCTCGCCGCCCCGCTCGCCGTCACGCTCATGCCCTTTCACTTGCAAGTGATCCTCGTCGTCTACAGCTTCATGCTGTCGTGTTGCCCCGGTCGCCTGTTGTTTCCCTCTTTTCCCTTTCTTGGCACCGCGTTTAGCTACAACACATAAAGAAAGGGCGACAAGATCAGTGGTGACGAGTGGAGCACCTCTATTGGTGGCGAAATCAACCACGATATCAATGAGCAACTCTGAAACAGACATAGAAAGACGCTATGCGGAGCTAAAAGGCTCTTGCTTACCTTTCCTCTCTTTAGCAGGTTTGAATTGGTCCAGCAGCTTCACCTTAGGACCGTTCCGCGGCTCGCTTGAACCGCCGCGACTAATTCGGCCAGCGTAAGGCTCGTCACCAGACTGGTCACTATCCGATGATGAGTCCCCTGACTCCTCGGCAGCGCGTGCAGAAGATTTGTTCTTCCTCCGATACTGAACAACTAACGGAGCAGCTTTGTGAGGTGTCATCTCGTCATGAAGCCTCTGTTCCGCACCTGTTCTGGTGCCTTCCAGGGGCTGTAAAGCTCCAGTGCCTACTACCACCGCAGTAGCATCGGCCTGTTGATCGAGATCGCAGATGTCCGCCATTATCGCCGCTAGACCAGTCCAGTGAATGATTGCAAGATGAGGAGTGCATTTCGATGGATCAGAGCTTGCTTAAATAGGTATTCAAGGTGCAAGGAATCCCACCGCGCATGCTAGACGTGCCTGCGAGAAACGCAGTGCGAAATCCCAGTACGTGCCTGCGGACCGCGCCCAAGAAGGTCTTGCAAGCGAGAATAGGAACGCGCCATTGCTGGACGCGCCCTTAGAGAGCATTACGACTGCGCCATAGCTGGACGTGCCTACGACGAGTAATTGCAACGCGCTAAGGTTAGAAGTGCCTACTGCTAACAGCAATGCGTTATGGCAGCAACTCACAGTGAGGCAACATTTGGAAATGCCTATCGTAGGAGGGTATCGTGAGGAGAACCTCAACTGGTACAAGCGTGACGTTCTTGGTGCTCTTCGCCTTAGGGTTTCGTGGTCTCAACTACCGCCACGAGAGATGGCACAGCATGTTCCTTTAACGAAAACCTCCCATGAAGTCACGTCGTGCTGGAGTTCCGCGCCTTCTTCAGCTCCTGCACCAGTTCTGGGATCGCAGCAGCCCAGCTGCCCTAGAAGTTGCAAGGTACGTGCTGGCAGTACGGTATGTGAGTGTTCACAAGCCTGGTCTTAGTAGGAGACTTGTTGGGCTGGAACGCCGTTTCGCCAGCAATCCTATATCTGCATTGTACTAAAAGCGCGATACTACTAAGTATTTTCGATCGCGTGAATGTCAACATCAGAGCTAGACTAGCCGCAAAAAAATCAATGTCACAAAAAATCAATGCCACAACAGCAAACAGGCAGCGCGAAATTCGAATACACGCGTAGGACGATCCGTGCCTAGTCCAACTCATCGCGCTTCGAGAACGACTCTGTTCTGTTGCCCTTGAACCATCGTTGCAATATCGAAAACAAGGATGGGCGTTACAAGTGCGCTGTATAACAACCCAAATATCATTCTAACACATCATCTGGTTTGTTTTTCTACCAAACTCCAGGTACTTGTGATTGGATCTGGAGTCCAGATTCTGGACTAACATACAAGTCACGCATTTAGGGATAACCCTCAACCACAGAAAGAACCCTACCAAGAATTCAAACTCCAAAAACCGTCGTAATGTGTCACAGAGGCCGCCTTTATGAAAGTGCCATGAACAGTGAGAAGGGTGATACCGTGGTATATTGTCATATGCAACATCACCAAGATACCAGGGGACTGGAGTTTCACATACACCAAATGGCTGCTAAGTGTAAGCACGATTCAAATCAAGTCTTGCTCTGGCATGCAACATCCCATATTCAGCCTGGTTGGAAGAGATCAGCAGAGTGTTTCTTGATTGTAGGGGTACTATGCATTCAGCAAAGGAGGATAGAGAAGCAGCGTTGTGTCTGTTGTGCAACCTTACGAGTCACATGCGGCACGCTGTGTGTTGACATGTTCTAGTACCGTATAACCACACACCGTTTTTGTATGCCGTGCCTCTTGAAGGCATGCTGCTGTCCAACCCACCTTCAGCCATCCATTCATTGCATGCATGCATGGTTCGGTGGGACACCACTCCATACTGCCCACTCCACTCCAGGTCCTCAGCACCATGACGTGACACACACCTTTCAGGATAGCATAATAACTAGGCCATCTGTCATTATACTCAGCTAATCTCATGTCTAGTGCTAGATTATGCAGCCCCTATCCAACACCGAAGGTGGCTAAGAGCATCACACAGCCTGAATAGAGGCGCATGCACTATCATAGAAACACGACCACGTAGCCAAATCTTTACGATATTGCCGCCTCCACTGTCTTGGCGTCCCGACCAAGTTGCACGCATTCAGACTGCCAAATTCGGATTCGACGAGAGTATGAATGACTCGCATTACATAAACACCGCAGTCATTATCGTTGTCTTGCTGTCGCACCTGCAAATGGCCCGAGAAGGTGATAGTGTTGGGATTAGGTGTAATATTCGAATTCAGGCAGAAAAATGTTGTTCATGCGCACCTCACTCCTCACACTCCCCTTCTCATCCGCGCATCCCCATTGCACTCATGCGCAGCCCACTCCTCTCACTCCCTTTCTCATCCGCGCATCCCCACCGCACTCATGCGCAGCCCACTGCTCTCACTCCCCTTCTCATCCGCGCATCCCCACCGCACTCATGCGCAGCCCACTACTCGCACTCCCCTTCTCATCCCGCATCCCCACCGCACTCATGCGCAGCCCACTCCTCTCACTCCCTTTCTCATCCGCGCATCCCCACCGCACTCATGCGCAGCCCACTCCTCTCACCCCCCTTCTCATCCGCGCATCCCCACCGCACTCATGCGCAGCCCACTCCTCTCACTCCCTTTCTCATCCGCGCATCCCCACCGCACTCATGCGCAGCCCACTCCTCTCACTCCCCTTCTCATCCGCGCATCCCCACCGCACTCATGCGCAGCCCACTCCTCACACTCCCCTTCTCATCCGCGCATCCCCACCACACTCATGTGCATCCCACTCCTCTCACTCCCCTTCTCATCCCGCATCCCCACCGCACTCATGCGCAGCCCACTCCTCTCACTCCCTTTCTCATCCGCGCATCCCCCCCGCACTCATGCGCAGCCCACTCCTCTCACCCCCCTTCTCATCCGCGCATTCCCACCGCACTCATGCGCAGCCCACTCCTCTCACTCCCCTTCTCATCCGCGCATCCCCACCGCACTCATGCGCAGCCCACTCCTCTCACTCCCTTTCTCATCCGTGCATCCCCACCGCACTCATGCGCAGCCCACTCCTCTCACCCCCCTTCTCATCCGCGCATCCCCACCGCACTCATGCGCACCCCACTCCTCTCACTCCCCTTCTCATCCGCGCATCCCCACCGCACTCATGCGCAGCCCACTCCTCTCACTCCCCTTCTCATCCCGCATTCCCACCGCACTCATGCGCTGCCCACTCCTCTCACTCCCCTTCTCATCCCGCATCCCCACCGCACTCATGCGCAGCCCACTCCTCTCACTCCCTTTCTCATCCGTGCATCCCCACCGCACTCATGCGCAGCCCACTCCTCTCACCCCCCTTCTCATCCGCGCATCCCCACCGCACTCATGCGCACCCCACTCCTCTCACTCCCCTTCTCATCCGCGCATCCCCACCGCACTCATGCGCAGCCCACTCCTCTCACTCCCCTTCTCATCCCGCATCCCCACCGCACTCATGCGCTGCCCACTCCTCTCACCCCCCTTCTCATCCGCGCATCCCCCCCGCACTCATGCGCAGCCCACTCCTCTCACCCCCCTTCTCATCCGCGCATCCCCACCGCACTCATGTGCAGCCCACTCCTCTCACCCCCCTTCTCATCCGCGCATCCCCATCGCACTCATGCTCAGCCCAATCATCTCACTCCCCTTCTCATCGGCGCATCCCCATTGCACTCATGCGCATCCTACCCTTCCCACCCCCGTACGCATCCGCGCATCCAACGCGCATACCTCGATGGCGTTTAACGGAATCTCTGCTGCCCACGATTTTGCTTCAGTCTCCGTGATCCATGCGTAGCGCTTCATGACCTGTCGCATCAAACATCTGCGCATTGAGCGTACGGGTCGTTAGCACTCGTCCGCAAGAATCATGTTTCATACGAAGCACATATCTCACTTTCTCAAAGGTCCATCAATGTCGACGTGAGTTGCATATGAGTCCGCATGCCACAGGACACACTTGATCGGGATAAGGGATCCCGGAGCGTGGTTAATTTCGATGACAGCAAGGCTCCAGTGCGCACTGCAATGTTATCGAGACTCCAATGTCGTTAGTTTGCAGCACATGGGTACGTTCTACACATGAATAAAAAGACCCGACTACTTACTCCTTGTTAATCGGAACAAGAACGTGCTTAAACGACAAAATGTCATGTCCATAGGCCTGCCTAGTGATCCTCTTCGACCCCGGGCATGCTACGAGTGTCCAGAAATAAGGCGATGTGCAAAGCCACGACGCATTGTCATATCCGTACTCGTAGTGTAACATACTGCAGGATCGACATGAAAATATACAAAGTCGGTGAAGCTCGTGAGAAACTAAAATCAAGGGTCAAAAAATCAGTTTGCTCTGTGTTCAACACAGAGGCACTCACGATGAGAGCCACTCGATAACCGTGCCACTGATCCACTGCTCGTTTTCCAGAGTGCGGTAATTTGAGGGTTTGATTTCAAGAGATCCCCCAAACGGGGATGGCATGCGCATGTGCCGGAAACTACATCGCGCTAACTTGGGTATGCCCTTCTCCTCCATATCTTGAGTACGCAAACTCAGCTTGAGCAGGATCTTGCCTTAGGTAAGGGTCGAAATTCCTTGCCCAGCCAGCTCAACGGAAAGTCGAAGCAGATACTGTAGTTCCTCCTGGAGAAGGACCCACACGCCCTTGCCCTTCGTTGGTCAACTTTGTGCTAAAATTCCTGCTCCCATTCGTCGTCAACGAATAGCCTGCTCTTGATATCTTGTCTACTTGGTGTCCAGTGTTGGGCGGTTTGACAGGATTCCCTGCTCCAATGGCATTGGTGCGGCTTGTATTTTTCTGACACACAATTGGCGTGTACCCCAAAAAGGATGTCAGGTCCATGTCGCAAGCGGAAACGACCTTCGCCAACTTGTTTCCAGTTGGGTACAAAACCTCGTCAGGTTGCTGCGACAAGAAAGCAGTTTTTGTACGCGAAAACAGTTACACCGGGAGATGCTGAGTATGAGTCGCATGGCGTTCTCGCCCATCTGCACGGTTGTCGCGCACCAATAAACAGTGTGACCTAGCACTTCGAGCAGTACATCACAAACCCTAACCAATTGCAAACCAACTACTGACACTCGATGACCAATGGCCAATCAGGGTCACCGGAAACATATGTTCAGGCTCAGATCGCCAATTCGTGTTCGCGCCAAATCCTTCCCTCGCCTTTCGAAAAAAACTATCGTCCATACGATAGTTTACTATCTCACCACGGTGCAGTGTTACCACTCACATCTCAAGCTGGTGTGCCAAACACCATTTCAGTCCTACGGACAGATCTGCTCGATGGAGGGTCAGGGTTGCGAGTTTTGCAATAAGCGCGTGTGCTGCTATCAAACAGTACGTAGCCATCAAGCTAACCATGACGGCTGTAAGCGAGCCCAAAGACGCAAGGCTCAAGAGGCTGCTAAACGAAAGAAGCTGGGTCGTGACGTTGAGAAGCAGTATACCTTTGTCCCGTTAGGAAGAGCCACCCTTCCCGCGCCAAAGCATTCGATTCCCTTAGCAGCACTTCCGAACGCAGTAGAGCAGCACCAGCAGCCGGCAGAGCGAGTTCCTGATGCGGTCCATACGTGTAGCACCACACTCGTGGGGGAAGAAGCTCCTACAGAGGAAATTCTCGATGTTAAGGCGGAAATATGCATTTTGGCACGGTCTCACGGCCTTACCAACGGGGTGATAAACGACACGATACAGTTAGTTAGACATCCGAAATTAGATCCAAAGCAGCTGGACGATTGGAACAGCTACCGGGACCTGGAGAAGTACGAGAACACCTTTGACGTTGGAGAGGCGAACGAATGGATCGTCGAGGAGATCCCAGTGGATCACGAGATTGGGTTTCTCACTTTCAAACGCTGAAACGCTATAAAAGTGAGTGTCTCCCAGGTGCGGTGTCACGTTCTTTAGAGTGGAGGTGGGGGTTTAGTGATGACGATCAAACCATCGGACCAAAGGGAACCATCGTTTCTTCACGTCTGTTTTACATATTTGTTTCCGTCATTATCACCATCAGCTCCTTCAGGCCATGTTCAAGAAAATGTCAGCTGTCAAGGGATTCACCATCATGCCTCAAGAGTGGAAGGTTGATGGGGTTCGCCGCTACAGTACCCCTGCAAACACGGACTGGATGCTGGAGGCTTGGGTAAGTTTGGTTCCAGCTCATGTCGCGTTTGACAAGACCGTCGAAACATAGGATCCAATTCAGATTTCCATCACTTTCTCATTCACTGTGGCAGGAGAGGGTGCGGAAGTATGGCATAGTTATAGCGCTCATTCTGTTCTCGGACCAGACCAATCTATCACATAACGGGCGCCAATCCGCCCACCCATTTCTTTTGTCCTTTGGGAACATTCCGGAATGGGCTAGGTGGCTCGAAGGAGGCACTGAGCTTCTCGGGCTTCTGCCTAATATCCCAGCTGACCTCTCGCCGGAAGAAAAGGTTCGAGTGTTCCAGCGTGCTGCAGAGATCATGATTAAAGATTTAAAGGCGGCTTCACATCTGAAAGGGTGAGTCAACACTACTGTCACCCAAAGGCGCGCATCCCTAGTAATCTCCGTCATCGTACTACGTATTCTGCCTCATCCCTATTCATAATCCTCCCACCCCGCTGTTTCCATCATTAGCCTTCTGGTTTGGTCAAACCAACCACTCCGTCACGTTTCCACCCCACTACCCTTCTAATATTCTTTCCCTGAGGCATACCCTCTCCGCTCCCTTTGTTGACCCTCGTTCACATCTGGTCCTCCTTCGCATGCGTGCCACAACGCTGTATTCAGTCATAACTTTGCTTTGCCACCATCTCATGCCGTTAATGCCTTCCCTGCTTGCTGTCCCCATCTTCCTAACCGTTCTTCATCTGCTTGCTTAGGGCCGCCCATGCTCACTCCGTTACTCCCATCTCCGACGTGTTATCCCATCATCCCCCCTCTACCTCCCTGTTTCCCCCTTCATCCTTGGCGGCTGTGCAGGGGCGGGGTGATGGTGGAAGACAGTGCCGGTGTGCAATATAGAGCATTCACGCTTCTATATTCATGGGTGACAGATCACCCGGAGTCTTCTAAGGTCACTTGTACGATGGCATGCAACTCGCTCCATCCGTGCTCGTTGTGCTTGGCTGATAAGGAGCACCTCGATGCGATGACGTTTGAGTTGACTCAAACGCCCCCCGATAAGGAGTGCCTGGATGAGCAGGAAGACACTATTGTCCTCAGAACTGTCAAGAGTCAGAAGGATGCGTACAAGGAGATGGAATCAGCAAAGACCAAGAAGAAGCTGAAGGCGGTGAAGAAGAAGACCTCTACTCACTTTGTGAAGGTAACCCTTGCCTAGCTTGTTCCGCATGCATTGCCGCGCATCTCATCTGGTTTCCCTCCATCCACACCATATACTGCACTGGCTAGTGTGCATGAGAACCTACTCCAATCCGCAGCCAGCTGTTTGTGTTTATTACCCCGACCCGCCATAGTGACTCTGTGTCCTTGACCCACAACGCAGAGCCTTTTGTGGGACTGGGAATTCGCAAAGACTCTCTGGGGCAACACATACCTCGCTGTCCCCCCGGACATCATGCACATCTGGGAGCAGGGCATATGGCTGCATGCCATGAAGTGCCTTGTGAAGAAGCTGACTCCGAAAGAACGGAAGATTCTTCTGGAGTGAGTTGTTCCGCGCCATGCTGAACCGTTCCTCCCCTCCTTGCTTGCTTTCCGCGCCATGCTGAACCGTTCCTCCCCTCCTTGCTTGCTTTCCGTGCCATGCTGAACCGTTCCTCCCCTCCTTGCTTGCTTTCCGTGCCATGCTGAACCGTTCCTCCCCTCCTTGCTTGCTTTCCGCGCCATGCTGAACCGTTCCTCCCCTCCTTGCTTGCTTTCCGCGCCATGCTGAACCGTTCCTCCCCTCCTTGCTTGCTTTCCGCGCCATGCTGAACCGTTCCTCCCCTCCTTGCTTGCTTTCCGCGCCATGCTGAACCGTTCCTCCCCTCCTTGCTTGCTTTCCGTGCCATGCTGAACCGTTCCTCCCCTCCTTGCTTGCATTTTCCACCATGCTGAACCGTTCCTCCCCTCCTTGCTTGCATTTTCCACCATGCTGAACCGTTCCTTCTCTCTAGGCGATACAAGATTTTGAAGGAGGTCACACCAGCTTCCGTGCTCCGTCTGCCTTCGGCGTGGGCCTACTTTACATCCACGCCTGCTTTTCAGCTTCAGAGCATCGTGCGATGATGCAGGTCTTGCCTCTCATCATCGATCTCCCAGGACGGAAAGATGTCCGGACGGCAATCGTGCTCATGGTCGAGTGGTACAAGGAGTTTATTCGCGCTGAGTACCACACCGACGATTCCCTGAAACGGATGAAAGATGCCACCATCAGGTAGTTACTCTTGTTGTTGTGTGGGCTCCCAAGCCGTTCATTGCCACATACACCCATTTTCCTCGCATCAACCATACCTACATGCTCTCCCCCCCCCCCCCCCCCCCTTCCCTTTCATCTTGTTTTGACCCTTTGCATCCCTGTTCTTCCATACCCCACCTGCTTGACCTCAATCCTGCCCTTTTTTTCCCTTGACTGCATGATTCCTCACCCCCCCTCCCTCGTGTCGTTTCTCCCTTCCTGGCCTGCATTCCACCCCTTAACTGCATGCATGCTCTCGACTGTCTCTCCCCAGCATGGTGAAGGCTCTGCGTGTTGCATTTCCTAAGCAGAAGTCAAAGTGGAAAATAGTGAAAATTCATCTCCTCGTCCACCTCCCGTCAACCATCCGTCTTCGGGGAATCCCCGCGGAGTACTCGTCGAACTGTTACGAGCACTCCCACAAGACCACTGTGAAGCGTCCTTCACGTGGCACGAATTGGAAGAATGTTGAAGATCGCATCGTTCGGAAACACCTGGAGCACGCGGTAGTTAGACAACTAGCGCGGGAGGCCGGCGGGGACAGCACGTACGAGACTTCGATGAAAGAGGTGATTCTTTTAAACCTGCAATGTCCCCCCTGCTCTGTACCCCTGCACACTCTCGTCTGCTTTGTTTCCCTGTTTTATTCCCATGCTCTGCTCTCCTGCTCTAACTCACTGCATGGCTGCCCTGCTCTGTTCTCTTGCTCTGTTCCACTTTTCTGTTCCCCTGCTCTGTTTCCCTGCTCTGTTTCCCTTCTCAGTTCTCTTGCTCTCTTCTCCTGCTCTGTTCCCCTAGTCCGTTCCCCTTCTCTGTACCCTGTTCTGTTTCCCTGCTCTGTTCTCAGCACTGTTTCCATGCTATGTTCATTGATGTGTCTGCCCTGCTCTGTGCCCTGTTCTGTTTGCCCTGATCTGGTCCCTGCTCTGTTTTACCTGCTTTCATCCCTGCTCCGCAACATCCTCCTGTGTTCCCTACTGTTTCCCTGCTATGTTCCACTGCTCTGTTCCCCAATATCTGTTTCCATGCTCTCTGCATGAGTTGGCAATCAGATGCTGGACCAACCTAACCAAGGTAACCGACTCCTACCCTCCATCCCCGTCTTCGTCCCCACAAACTCGCCCCCGTTCCCCTCCCTCATTTCCCCCTGGTCCCTAGCCCTCTCCTTCGCCTCCCCCGCATCAATCCCCTCCCCCACCCTCTCTTCCACCCTCCAAATGCCCACACCATTCACCCCACCCCCTCCCTATACCAACCCTCTCATCTTCACGGTGACAGGCATGCCTGGCTGGCCGGAGGGTGCTTACTAAGACCCACAAGAAGATGGTCATTGGAGACATCACCGACTCGGTGTTCCGGAGCTACGTCTTGACGCTGGGTGAACCCGCCATGAGTGCGATGGTTCTGCGCCTCAAACAGGCGGGCATCAACACGCAAGTCTTGCAGGTGCATTCCCCTCTCCTGCTTGCTTTCCACCCCATCCACCCCTGGTTCCCCCTCTCCTGCTTGCTTTCCACCCCATCCGCCCCTGGTTCCCCCTCTCCTGCTTGCTTTCCACCCCATCCACCCCTGGTTCCCCCTCTCCTGCTTGCTTTCCACCCCATCCGCCCCTGGTTCCCCCTCTCCTGCTTGCTTTCCACCCCATCCGCCCCTGGTTCCCCCTCTCCTGCTTGCTTTCCACCCCATCCACCCCTGGTTCCCCCTCTCCTGCTTGCTTTCCACCCCATCCACCCCTGGTTCCCCCTCTCCTGCTTGCTTTCCACCCCATCCACCCCTGGTTCCCCCTCTCCTGCTTGCTTTCCACCCCATCCGCCCCTGGTTCCCCCTCTCCAGACTGCTGTCCATGCAAACCCTGGCCAATACCCCATTTCCCTTATGCTCTCCACCCCCTCTTTCGCTGCTTTCCCTTTTTGTTGAATGCTCGTGGTGTCAGGTGCACACGGCACTTGCGATCCCGCCACACGATAAGATGGAATGGACGTCAAGGGGGCAGTTCGTCAAGGCTAGCCCAGCCCAGCAAAACTTCTCGTCGATTGCGATCAACCCTGCAGGGAAGGGATCCCCGTGGTATGGCCGTTGCCTTGTGCTGTTTCATTACAACAAGGGTGGTGAGCTGAGGCGAGGCGCATATGTGGAGTACTACACCGAAGACAAGCGACAATGCCCGTCGACGGGATGCAAGCGTCTTTTACCCACAGAGGGCGTTGATAATTATGCGGTGATCGATGTAGACTGCATTCTTAGTCTCGTGCACATTGTACCCTCGTGCGAGGACGATGAAGTGAGCCTCCTCAACAGATTTGTAAGGTGAGGCCTTTGACCCAATGTGACTGTGGTAAACGTTGATTTTGAACCTAGAATATTGATATTTTTAGGCATTTCTTTAATCTAATAGGTGCAAAATCAATAACCATTGGTTAAATATGACACTTGGAAACCCATGTTCTTAATGGGATTTACAAATTCAAGAAATAATCTTCAAAGGTTTTGCTGTAACAAACAATGCACAGAAGTAAAAAGGAGACATTTATATTGAGAACAGGTTTACAGCACAAATCTTCCAAGCGAGGAGACCAGCTCCAACCCCTCTTAGTCGCGAAACCCTAATGCTGCAGCAACAGGCAAGAAACATTGAGCGGAAACATACGAATAGTGTCTCCAAAACGTCTCAAGAGGGACAAACGATTTTTGTAGGTTTTCTGTACGTTTTTCAAACGATTGTCAAACATACGATCGACCTGCGGGAACGTCAGATGATTTTCAAACACACACATTTTTGTGATGCAGGTTTGATGTCGCGATGCACAAGGCCGAAGCTGTGGAGGTACTCAAAGCCACGTGCCGCACCAATGAGGATGTCCAGCCGCTGCTGGAAGGTGAGAGTGAAGGACGCCTCTGCACACATGCATAGAACGAGAGAGTGGCAGAACATAACAGTGACGGAATGTGAGAGAGAACATGATGAGCCACACAGTAGGAGCAACATAATAGGGGTAGTGACACAGCATGTGCACCACTCTCTGAAAAGAAACGTGGGAACGAAGTAAAAAAAATGGCAGGTATTTTCTTGATCAACTTTTTAGGGGTGGTGATGCTCGAGGTGGGTCCAAGGAAACAGGATGTGGAGGTGGTAGACAAACTACACAGGGTCGTTGTCGGAAATAAACTTACGTTTTTTTATAAACTGGTCAAGGTCACCGTTGGGAACAAACTCGTAGATCAGGATTTGCTCTGGCCGCGTTTTCATGTCCCCTCCAACAGCATATCCAAGCAGCCGCACGATGTTTGGATGGTTCTTGTCGGCCATTTGCTGGACCTGCGAGGAAAATGGCAGAGATAAGTGTCAATGACATGGTTCTTACATGGCACACCAAAATGGAAAAGACATGCCAGGGCAGAATGACTTTTAGATGTTTCAAAAGGCATGCCATGCATCGAGAGGCATAGTCAAAGTGGATAAAAGAACGGCTCTTCAACAGAAATCCAGCCATCATAGCAACCCACCTCTCACTGCAAATCTACACCCTTCAGTTTGGCCCCTTATAAAAAAGACTCAAAAGCCACGCTCACCTCTTTTTGGAAATCCACATCGATCAGTTTGGCTCGCTTGACAGCCCACAGGGTGACGCCATCGTGTGGACACACGCCCTTGTACACGTCACCAAAGGCACCCGCGCCAAGCTGGTTCTCCGAGTTCCAGTGCTTGGTGGCTTTCAGGACGTCTTCAAGACAGTACTCCGTGCATTGAGCGCCCGTCATGCTCGCAGCCCGGCCTGCAAAGGTACGGATGGAAGGGGTGTGGAGTGGTAGTGTGGGGTGCAAGGTACCCGCGCCAAGCTGGTTATTGCCAGGCCAGTTGCCAGTGCCCTTTGAGGACTTCAAGGAATTTCTCAAGAGAGAATCCCTCCTCCTCCGTGCATTTTAGAGGCGCTTGGAAAGGCATTAAGGACTTTCTCATGGGATTATTCCTCCTCCTCCGTGCAGTGAGAGGCAGGGATGCGACCCGCTTAGCCTGTGAACTTGGGGCCGAGCAAGAGGGGTGAGGGATGAACGCGTGAGTGAAAGGAGTGAGTGTGAGGGAGGGGGGAACGTGTGGCGTCAAATCTGGAGTGAAGTAGAGGATGATACGCTGCCTGCCAGACGGCCTGTAAATGTTCAGATGGAAGTGAAACACTTTTGAGGACTTCCTCAAAGGAGTATTCCTCAAAAGAATGTACTGTACCCAATCAATTCCGTCCTTTGAAATGAGATGCTCAAAGGACGGAATTGAGAGATGGAGAGGAGAAGGAAGAAGAGGATTTCTTTTTTTCATTTCTTTTTTTCTTATTTTCTGCTAAGCTCGCTGCACCTGTACTGTACCTGATTCTACTGATTACAGAAGAGTGAGTTTGTGCAGACTGAGTGATCTACCCAGGATCTCCAAGTGCACCTTCTCTTGCACTTACCTGCTGCACTTACCTGCTGCACTTACCCGCTGCACTTACCTGCTGCACTTACCTGCTGCACTTACCTGCTGCACTTACCTGCTGCACTTACCCGCTGCACTTACCTGCTGCACTTACCCGCTGCACTTACCCGCTGCACTTACCTGCTGCACTTACCTGCTGCACTTACCCGCTGCACTTACCTGCTGCACTTACCTGCTGCACTTACCTGCTGCACTTACCCGCTGCACTTACCTGCTGCACTTACCCGCTGCACTTACCTGCTGCACTTACCCGCTGCACTTACCTGCTGCACTTACCTGCTGCACTTACCTGCTGCACTTACCCGCTGCACTTACCTGCTGCACTTACCTGCTGCACTTACCTGCTGCACTTACCTGCTGCACTTACCTGCTGCACTTACCCGCTGCACTTACCTGCTGCACTTACCTGCTGCACTTACCTGCTGCACTTACCTGCTGCACATACCTGCTGCACACACCTGCTGCAATTCCTGAGGCGCCTAAAAAATGGGTTTGTGTTGTCTTGCAATGCAAATCTGAAGGATCCACTCCAGATATCCTCCAAGTGCACTTGCAATGCAAATCTTGCAAGTGTATCTTGCAAGGCACATACCTGCTGCACGTGCTGACCGTCTCTTATGGCCTCTCCACCACAGCAGCCCACAGATCATCCCCACCAGAAGCAACGCCCCCGCAGCCACAGCAATGCCGGCAATGACTCCCACAGACAGACCGCCTCCAGACTGGGAGGCAGAGGCTTCAGGCGAGAGAGGGGGTGCTGCAGGGGAGGAGGAGGAAGTGTTCGCAGTGGGGGGAGCTGCCGACGCCGAGGGGGGTGCCGGAGCGGCAGAGGGAGGGGAGGGGGAGAGAGGGGGGTGGGGGTGGAGTGGAGGGTGCGAGGGGAGGATGGAGATGAGACGGAGAGGGATGGAGACAGCATGTGTTGCACGTGAAGCATGACGGCACATAGCAAAATGGTGAGGTTGCAAAATGTGATGGATCGGATGGGAAGTATGCGAGAGATGTGGCACAGATCGACAGAGTGGTAAGTTCATGTAGGTAGAAAAGAAACAGGGATGTGAATAATGCATAACAGCCGTATTTCTCATGCTTCCTGTGTTGGCATGCGGGCTTGATGCACAGGGAAGGATGCGAACAAGGTGAACAGGAGGGTGTCCGAGTCGTACACAAAAACCGAGGTTTGAAGCAAGAGAGAGAAAACTGAGGTGAGGTTGGATACTTGTTTTTGGTTTTTGTTGTGCTTCTTGTTTTTCTTTATTTTCTTGGCTCACGTGGTGATGTCTTGTTGCAGGTGGAGCAGAAGGAAGGGCATAGGCTGCAGAAGGCGCTTTTGGGGTTCTGCTGAATCACACAATGGCTCTTGTTAGGCGGGCATGTGGACTCTGTTCCGTTCAGATTCCTGCACGCGCGGAAGGAAGAGTTGAGTTGGTATTTTTAGCGAGTGGTGGATTGTGTAATTAGGCCGCGGCGAGGTGTTATGTGTGGTGCTTCTTGGAGACACTAGCGGATGGAATCTGCAAGCAAAGGTTAAGGAGAATAGAAGATGGCGGAATTGTTGCAAGCGAGAGAAGATTCTGGATCAGAATCCACTAGCAGCATTTGTAACTCTCAAAAAACAGAATTCAGTTGCTTGCAGCACATCAAGGAAACAACAACCAATCAATCAATCGGGTTTGGATGAAAAATCTTACAATTGTTCAAGTTTGGAGAGTCTGCCCAGTGTTGGAGGGATCTGTCCTGTCATATTCGTGTCTGCAAGTTCACTGCATGGGGGGGGCATTGTTGAATATACATAGTAGACTGCATCCATTGTTGCACATAAGTTACAGAGTGGAGACAATTTTGCATTGCCATAAACAAAAGCATTGTTGTGAATTTGTAGAGCAAAACCAAAGCATTGTATCTCAGACACTTGCTCCTAGATACAGAGATAAGTAGCAGTAACTCAGCCGAATATACCAGTGGTCAATTTTTTTTTTTTTTTTTTTGTTCTGTTGAAGTTCAGGCAGAATGGAAGTCATGCGGAGAAGGACAGCGAGAGAAGGTTTGTCACCTCAATAGAAAATATGGGACTCTCATAGGCTATAAGCGCAAGGCACTCTGACAATGGATGTGGCTCAGCTCAGAGGCTGTGCTTACACGGCTGCGAGTGAGAAGAGATGCATGAGTTACAACATGAGGCTGCTGCGCTTACAACATTGCAAACTGCACGAGTTACCAGTGGACTCAGAATTGCTGCATCTTCTATGGCATGGCTCCCTCCGAACCACAAGCCGTGACTCTCAATCAACCTCACCCTTTCGAGATTGCTACTCTCTCAATGCAATGTGGTGGTGATGGCTCTGTGTACGCACAGGATTGCAAGCTTTGTGAGATTGCTGATGGACTCTGGGATGCTGCCAGTCAGGCTGCTGGCAGAAAGGTACCTGATGATGTGGGGATAGCAACG